ATGGGATTCATTATGTGGGAACAGCCAGGCAGGTGCGCTTACCCAACTGCAACCTTGAAGAGGAGAAGAGCTTGAAGAAAAAAGGGAGAGGAAGCTTTGACATCCGAGTGGAGACCAACCACAACATCTGTGCTGTCAAATGGTATGACAGCAGAGCGGTCACACTTGTCTCATCCTTTGCTGGACCACCCTGTGCAGAACATTCAACGCTGGGACAAAGCCAACAAAACCTACGTAGAAGTTGAGAGGCCTTCCATTGTGGCTACGTACAACAAGTACATGGGAGGTATGGATTTGTTAGACTCGTTTATGGCCAAATATAAGTTCCCCATGAAGTCCCGACGCCGGTACGTGTACATCTTCTGGCACACCATCATCCTCGTTGTGATCAACGCCTGGCTCCTCTACAAGCGGGACTGCAGAGCTCTAAAGATGCCAAAGCAGGAGATCCTGAACAGGAGAGAGTTTCAGGCAGATCTAGCATCCTCTCTCATCCTGGTAAGAATGCATTTCTGCTATTTGCCGTTTGTAATATTTTTTTATATTTCACTGTAATATCTTTGACTTGTATCCTAATGTATTTTTGTTCTAATCAGGTGAGCACAACTCCCATGAAAACACCAAAGAGAGGACGACCATCTTCAGGCAAGGGGAGCCCAGCACCGACGGTGACATCAAGGAGCCCGTTGATTGCTCAGAAGAGACCATCCTCAGGTGATGGGAGTCCACCAAACGGGGCCCCATCCAAGAGATCACAACCTCCACTGGATGTACGGAAGGACCTAGTGGCACATTTTCCAGGGAAGACCAAGAGAGGACGCTGCAGACACTGCAGTAAAGGGTACACAAACACCCAATGCACCAAGTATGACGTCCGTCTCTGCTTTTCTGATGACATAAACAGTTTTTTGGACTACCATATTCATATTTAATAAATGACTATTCATAAAAAATATGACTGATGTGTGATTATTATTCATGCTATATACTGATATAGGGCTAAGTAAGCAATCAATCCTGCAAATCAACCCTTAGTTGTTCAATATATTTATTCAGACAATGTGAGTAGAAATACAGGAATTCTGCTCCCACCTAAGGCCAACGTTGCAATATTACAACATTTCCCTAAAAACTTACCAAAACGTAAACAATTTGAAAACTCTTTCTGCTCCAGAGGCTCCCTACAACAACATCTGAAAGGTCAAAAAAATAAAATCTAATGTTTTTCTATTTTTGGGCTTTACAGGGTTAAAGGTCCCATGTCATGGCCATTTCTACTGATCATAATTCCATTGTTGAGGTCTACTAGAATAGATGTATATTGTGCAATTTTCCAAACTCACATTGGTTTCTCATACAGCATCTCTGTATAGTATGTGTATTCACTCTCTGTCCTAAACGGCTTGTTGGAGCTTCTGCACCCCCACCTCCCTGTGAGCCCAGTGTGCTCTGATTGGTCAGCTCGCCCACTCTGTTCGGATGAGTCTACCACCGTTACAGCGGAACATCAGTGATTATGTGTTACCATGGCGTTAGCAACCAGAAAAGGACACCAGTAAGCACAAACAGATGAGAATGCTGCGTGGGGTCTGGGTGCCGTGTTTGCGGGACGTTGTGGGGCTCGCTGCTGGAGCGGACAGTGTGAGCTGGCTTGCTGGTGTTGTTTCCTGGTTGCTGCGTGGGGTCTGCGGGACGGCGGGACACGGCGAGGCCCGGCCCGAGCTCGGCCGGAGCACACACACACACACACACACACACACACACACACACACACACACACACACACACACACACACACACACACACACACACACACACACACACACACACACACACACACACACACACACACACACACACACACACACACACACACACACCCGGGCCGGGCCTCGCCGTGTCCCGCTGTCTCAGGCTGAGTCCAGGCTGAGAAATCTGCGGAGCTGCAGCTGAGAAAAACAAGGCTGGCTGAGTGTGTGTCAATCAATCAATCAATCAATCAATCAATCAATCTTTATTTCAGACTCAAGGTCCATATCACATACAAAATGACAAGATACACATCAATAAATAAGATTAAAAAGCTAAACACATAATAAATAAAAAGGGGCTTGACAGGTAGGTACCCCCAAGTTAACAAACAGCTGGCTAGCACTGTGCCATCTTGGTACCCTCACCAGCAACCGTAAAGCATCATTGTATGCAACTTTTAGTTTTTGCATGCTTCTAGCCTTGTAGTTACTCCACAATTGAGCCGTGTACAATGGTGTACAGAAAGCTTTAAAAAGTGATACCTTGACATCTACAGAGCACTTGTGAAATTTCCGCATTAATATGTTGTCTATGCGTTGTCTATGGATGTCTTTGTCATTTGTAAGATCATCAGAAATATAATGACCAAGGTACTTAATCTCACTGCACACAAGAAGAATAAAATTAGGAAATACAGCCTTTTTATCCTCTTTAATAAAAGGTGTGTGTGTGTGAGGAGCTCTGCGGATTGATCCATTTGGATCGTCGTTACGTCACTTGGTTCCCGGAAGAAAAAAATGGAAAAAGAAAATCTCCAACGAGGCGTTCTGGGGCAGCATAGTCAGGTATTTTCTGTGTTAGAGTTTTACTCGCTACAGGGTGTACTTTGAGGGTTTGTGACTTTGCAGACCGGCTACATAACACACAAGGGGATGGGTAATAACCGGAAAAGCATGACATGGGACCTTTAAAAGAACACAATGGTGCTCTAGGAGGAGATTCAGGTGATAAGGTGGGGGGGGGACATCATTAAGTGGCCAAAATCTGATCAGCTCATTTTCAGACAGGCTTTTATATAAATGGATCAGGACAAAAAGTGAGCGAACCTTTTTTCCTGAAACTTTCAGAATCTATTTACACAGAGGGGACACATGTTTATGTATAAAATACATGAAAAAGTGGATTTTGCATAATAGGTGACCTTTAAGAATCGCCATATGGCTTGATGTAACTATGTGCTTTGGGACATTGTATTGCATACTTCTTCATGTTGACATTTAGGTCTATGGAGCCATGATAATGTCCCGGGACCTGTTAGATCTGTTTGATACTGGTCTCTACTCTTATCTGGTAGGATAATCTGATGGATGTCTGTGTATCAAAACAGTATTATTAAGGATCTCTGAGGAAAGTGTGCAAAAGTATCCTTCTGTTGCACACCTCTTGACAACAAGTGTGCACGTTCTGCTCCTCTTTATCCTCCTCCTTTATGCAGTTTCACTTTGTGTCACTAGGTGGCAGTATTAGACAAAAGGTTATACATTAAATGAAGTACATGGCATACAGAGGCCTTGACACCTGTAATGCACTAGTGATTACCATACATGTACACAAACTTCAACAAATAACGCCATTACAGATCAGTTAATAGACCCACCTGTCTTTTAGGCACAATATTATGTCATCTACTTCCTGCTATAACTTTCCTTTCTGGACCACGTGGAACTATGTGGACTTACATAAGCGCTGACCATTGATCATAACATAGTTAATGTTTATAAGACTGTTAATGATCAGCTAAATAAGAGCATGTCTCTGCATCCTGTTGGCTTCTTGGTTTCAAGTATTACAGTCATTTTCATTGCTCGGCTCTTACGTGTACTTTCATTCTCTGTCAGTGTAACAAAAATAATATGATGGAAGATTAAAACAAGGCACTCATTTGTAAATGTATTGAAAATGAAATATAAATATATCAAGCTAGTGTTTGTGAATTTGGCCTGCTCAACCAAAGTTCATCATTACTTTTCAATTTACCATTTAAGAAAAAACGCTGTTTACTACTTACAGTTGAGTTAACCTTTATTACTATGATGATGAATCCCATTGTCCTCATTAACTGAAAACGTGTGCCAGTCAGTGGTGATCGTTTTCAGCCCAATCACAACCTTAAAACCGATAAATGCAATACAACTTACCCAAAGCATAACCTCCCCAGAAAATAGTTTAAAATGGTAAAACCATAAATTTCATACGCCATACAAAACACATCGTTTTTTGCTGGTTTATTTTTTATTCTGGAGTTCCAATAGGCTTTGAAAATAATTAGGCATAACTTTAGATATCACATGAGGTGGACAGAAAGTGGGCTAGCTCTGCTCTCTTTTTTTTCTTTAGGTCCTTCTTCAACATTTTATTCACCATTAGCTTTGTATTTTCCCACTTTTATAACTTCACATGTGCATTTTTCATTCAGTTTCATCTCTATTTTCCTAAACAAGATATTAGGGTTGTTTTGTTGTTTTTTCACTTTTATTGTCATTACACAGTACAGGTACTATGTAACGAAATGGTTTCTCTGCATTTGACCCATCCTAGTGTTAGGAGCAGTGGGCTGCCATTATGAACGGCGCCCGTTTTTAATTATTATATCATTAAAGTTATATACACAACTTAATTTCTTAACCTAAGAAAAAACAGCTCGATTGTTGCATGCTAACGTTTATAGGCCATGCAGCTTTATTAGGGGAGGACATAGAAGGGGTGCATTTACAAATAAAATGTATAGAAAAAACTACACCCAAAGCTTAATTAGGGCATTTTAAGTAAAGTCCATTAAGAAAGCTATTCACTTTTGAAAAAACTCACTGCTCGATAATAATTTGAAATTGTACCAATAATTAAGAGCATAAATCTTACTTGGTTACATTATTCCTCATTTTAATTGTGTCTGTTTTATTCGCAATGGCAATACTGGGCACTTTATTTGTACAATTTCACTCAAACCCCTCAAAGCCATGACACATTGTTTGAAAAATCCTTGATTTGATTTAATCTTGCTCCAAATGATACTTGATTACTATCTGTGTATACATTGTATGTCTGATTTTGTAGCCTACCTGCGCAGTAGAGGATAATCATTTCGGAAACGTAATAATTTCCTTGTTTGAAAACACGACGCGGTGTTTTACGAGCAGAACTTGAAGGTAGCACCAGGGAACCTGTCATTCAGCGGTCCGCGTTGGTCACCTGACCAAACTCCAGGTCACGTGACTGATATTCCATCCTCGCCATTTTGCAATGTGGGAGAAAGGGAGGCCACTTTTTATGGCTGACGAATAAAACAAAGCAGTTTTATGTGTTGAGGACAAAGAGCGTCGAGCCTTTCCGTGTCAGTGAGTATATCTTTATTAAAAACAGAGCCACGCGCTTCTGCGTCACACATTAACTGAAAACACAGTAAAAATGCCCTTGTACTTGTGTGTGTTGGTGCTAGCAACGTGTGTGGACTCGTGTGTGTGTCTGTGTGTGTGGGTGTGTTTGAACAGCAGGCTATGAAGCTAACTGTGAAGCTAATAGTGTTTCCTGTTTACTTAAATGTATTTTTTCATGTTGAACTGGCTTGATTGTCGTAGCAGCATTAGCATGTCAGCTAACAGTAGCCAGTACATTTAGCCTAGTTGCTACTCGAGGTTTCTGTAGGAGCTGTCCTCCTAATTCTACAGGGGACTGAGAGTGGATGAAATATTTTTAGATTCTGACATAACAGGTGCTCATCTGAAACCGGCTGAACCTCATGAGAGTCCAGAGAGGCTGAACTGACCACAAAGTGAACCATATGAACCACAGGTGGCCTAGCTTTTATCTCCACAAGTGACACACTTTGTTATCTGACTATAAGTTGTTAATTTAGTTTAAGATGCTTTGATGAGGGCGTTTCCAATAAAAGTGCTATTCAGAGGTGGAATAAGTACATATGTTGTACTTAAGTAAAAGTAAAATATACCAGAGTGTATGAATACTCTGTTAAAAGTAAAAGTCCTGTATTCAAAATGTTACTCAAGTAAAAGTACCAAAGTATTGATCTCTAAATAAACTTAAATAACCAAAAGTAAAAGTACTACTCGTTATGCAGATTGCCCCATTTCAGAATCATAGCGTGTGTTTTCATTATAATCCTTGATGTATTAATTTGTTTATCAAACTTGTACATGTGGAACTTTTATTACTGCTTGGTAGCATGTGAATTTATTCCAGGTGTAACTAAGGTCTTATTTAAGAGTTGATTATATGTTTTTTATATTTATTAATCCATATCGGCAAAGTAACTATGTAGGTACTATGTAAGTGTAGTGGAGTAAAAGTACAATATTTACCTCTGAATTGTAGTGGAGTAGAATGTAGCAATGTAGCATAAAATGGAAATACTAAAGTACCTCATCATTTTACTTAAGTACAGTACTTGAGTAAATGTACATTCGCTCACATATTTCTGAATGAAGCTGGATGATAGCTTCATAACAACTCTTGCATGTGGTTACCCTTCTCTGAATGTGTATCCTTCCTACTGTTTTGATCATCATACAGAAGCAGAAGTAGGAAAAGAGGAAGGCAGTTTGAGGTTAAAAAGTGAGAAGGAGGGAAGTTTTGGATTCACAGATAAAAGGAATTTAACCACAGGAGTTGTGACACTTTCCCTCAAGCTGAGATGTAAACAGATGCACATGTTTGCAAGGACAGCGTTTATCTTAAATGAGTTAAGCCATCACGCTTATCAAGTCTTTTGTGTTACTTCCCTTTTATAAACAGCCAACTCCCTCACTAAATACTGTAAAATAGAAAAATGAAGAAAAAATACATCTTATTTTCTTAACCCCTTCTAGTATTGACCTAATGGAACAAAAAATATGAGGTTATCATGAGGTTGTTAACATCGCAGTTTATCAGTGGATGTTTGCTGGAACTGTTTGTAAACAGCGTGTTTCCTGACGGACACACACAGCGTGACTCCGGTCAGGTAGAGACCGGTCTCCAGTCAGCACCGATGCAGACTCGCTGTTTGAGGGCTTGATAACCCACTCCCCCTCCACACCGCTCCACACTCGTTGGTTTGGAACAGCACTTAATGTGGCGGACCCTCCGCGCGAACGCGCAAATGGGCAAATGGAGAGGTAGTGTGGAGGGGGAGGTTTGGGATTGGGCCCAAGTGTCAGAAAACACAACCCTCTCTCTTTTCCTCCATACCCAAATCTCTAAAAACGGGGCTGCAACGGAGCTACAATATATTATTCAAATATAGCATGATAGGTCCACTTTAAATTGTTTGTGTGAGTTTAAATGTCAGATATAAATCTGAAGGGATTTTTTAAATAATGTGTTCATACATTTCAGTATATAAATCTGTTTTAAATCTAGTGCACAATCTATAACTCCAAGCAGTTAACAAAGTCATGTATTTCTCCCCTGCTGTCTGCCAGGTCATGGAGGAGGTCAGCAATGCTGTACTCATCACACACTCCTCCTCCACCACCTGTTCCTCCTCCGCTCCGTCAGCACTGGGATCTCTCTCTCAGCCCGTAGCCCAGCATGCTGTGGAGGAAGACGCCTCCCAGAGTCTTCAGCAGAAACGAGCGGCAGATTCTCTAATCCAGGTCATCGAGAAGCTCAGCAAAATCGTGGAGAAGCGGCCCCAGCGTCGCTGCACCATGGCGGGACAGAAAAGAGGTGGAGGGGGAGGAGGTGAGGAGGGGGCGAGAGGGAGCAGAGGTGGCTCTCCTTTAAAGAAAGTTAAGAGAAACTGTAAGGTGCAGGATAACGCAGAAGAGATGCGAATAGAAGGTGACCGTAACAACAACATCACATTAATGGAGGCATCAAACAACCCCAACAGTGGCGACCACAAACGGACGGTGACCTGCTATCAGTGCAGCCTGTGCCCCTACCTCTCCCAGACACTGCCTATGCTGAAAGAGCACCTTAAGCACCACAACGAGCAGCACAGTGACCTTATCCTCATGTGCTCCGAGTGTCGCTTCACCTCTAGAGACCAGGGGCAGCTGGAGGCCCACGTCAGGCTGCACTTCGACAACGGAGGAAACCTGACGAGCAATTTGTCTGATACCTACAGCGAGGGCAAGGAGGAGGTTTTAAGAACGCAGGATGGGGACTGGAACGATAGTAGCCCATTGGACGGTTCAAAAGAGCTCCCGCAGAAGAAGAAGTGGTATAGCTTCGAGGAGTATGGGCTGTATCGCTGTCTGATCTGCAGCTATGTTTGCAGCCAGCAGAGAATGCTCAAAACTCACGCCTGGAAGCATGCCGGCTTGGTGGATTGTTCTTACCCAATCTTCGAGGGTGAAGATACCGCAAGGAAAGAGTCCCAGCCTGCACCTAACAGTGCTGCAACCAGAGAGGAAATAGTCTTTCTTTCACCAGTTCCTCAAGATAAAAGCCTCCAAAAGCTGCCCACTGCCTTCAAGCTCCAGCTCTGCGAGCCAATGAATGCTGAGAATAAACATGACGCGTTGAATCGTCCAGTTTCCGATCTCAAAGAAAGTTTGAAAATGGAAGAGGAGGGAAGCGTGTACCCTATCAAAGAGGAGCCCATGGTAGAGGTGCAGGTGACGACGGAGGCAGACGCCAAGGTGGAGATCGATAATCACCACAACAGCGCTTTCGTCACAGACAGCTTACTGTCATCGGCACAGAAGATCATCAACAGCAGTCCCAACAGTGCCGGACACATCAACGTGATCGTGGAACGCCTTCCTTCAGCTGAGGATTCCGTCATGGTGACTAACCCGCTTCTTCTTAGCCCGCACGTGGACAGGGAGAAGAACTCATTGGATGCGAATGAGGAGCGGGGCCATGTGGGAGCTGCAAAGGGTGAAGTAGTGTCTAGCTGCATTCTGGGTAGCACTCCTGACAGCATACCTTTAGTAGCAGATATTAAACCGTCTGTTGCTGTGGGTAGTGACTCTCCACGGGATGAAAACATTCCCCCAGCTGTTCGAAAGAGGACACATTCTGAGTCCCTGCGTCTGCACTCTCTGGCGGCTGAGGTCCTGGTAGCTATGCCTATGAGGACCACTGAGCCCCCCCCCTCCAGCACAAAGGTAAGTCTTAGGACCAGCACAGCCCAGACACAGAGCCCCAACCAGAAGTGGGTAGAGATGACAACAGCCGGTCAGAGGACTTCTGACGCGGAGACGACTGCAGCTCTGTTGGACTTAGAGCTTCACGGCGAGGCCAGAGAAGAAGAATTGGGGTCCTTGTGCCTGGGGGAGGGAGACGAGGAGGGCCCTGCCACTAAAGCGGGAATCAGCCTGTCATTGCTAACCGTCATCGAGAGACTCCGAGAACGCTCGGACGAGAACGCCTCCGACGAGGATATCTTAAAGGAGCTTCAGGACAACGCTCAGTTCCATAACGGAGCTGTGGAGAGTGTGGTGACAGGAAACGGAGCGGGGAGCTACATGTGTAGCATTCCCGGAATGGACGGGTTGGTGGCAAGTTCTGACGGGGGACTGGTGGACTACATCCCCGGAAATGAAAGGCCGTACAGGTGCCGCCTGTGTCGCTACAGCAGCGGCAATAAGGGGTACATCAAACAGCACCTCCGGGTGCACAGGCAGAGACAGCCCTATCAGTGTCCCATCTGCGAGCACATCGCCTCAGACAGCAAGGACCTGGAGAGCCACATGATCCACCACTGCAAGACCAGGATGTACCAGTGCAAGCAGTGCCCAGATGCCTTCCACTACAAGGTGAGGAGACAACGCTCACACACAGCTTTTCATTTGTTCGATTATATAATAGTATATTATAATGTTTAGCGTTATAGAAGCCATTGAAACAGCTGATGTTGTACTCTGAATTGGCCTCCCAGGTCTTCATTATAGTAAATAGAAAGAGATGCCCTATCCTGTGTGGGGACATTCTTTATGTATTTCCAGAAAAAAATTGAACACTGGCTTAGGCTAGAACTGTGTAGATATTTCCAAAAACCTGCAGTTTGTACATTTACTCATTTAATTTCCATTTCTTAATGAGTTTGGGGCTTTTGGTTAATGGAAAGAAACAGATTGGATGGGTTTTAGGAACTTATTTTGGTCATTTTACCACAATAAGTTGTAGAAAAGTTAGCGCTGACTTCCTACACATCATTCAGAATACTAATATAGCGTTAAAAAAATTAATCTGAAAAATATAAGTGTAATGGCATTCTGAGCAGATTCTAACTGTGTGTCCCAATGGCTAGCTAATCGCCGTCGCTCTGCGCTCGTATAACACGTACTGCTTACGAAAGCATAATGCCCACCCTCTGGTTCCCATTCAGGTTGACACTGTCAGCTGTTGATAGCAGTTTAAGTGCTTCTAACCACTCCCATGTTTGCTTGTGATGTCAGAGGAGAGAGCCGTGCACTCTGAATGTCGTATATAGCAGGGGTTTTCACAGGGTCCTTCTCAGGTCGATTAAATGGAATCCTTGCGTCCCTCACTTGCGTCGTTTCCCTGCGTTTAGTCCCTCCCACCAGGGAAGCATGGAGAGACGCAAGGAAACCACGAGAAGCAGGGAAATGAGTTTTAAGAGCAATGGGACGTCCTTTCCTCCGGAGCGTCACGTGAAGCGACGTCCGTTTGTGATGACGCCGCACAGCTGTTCTTCTGACAGCAGCTCTGTCCCCGTTATTTTCACAAACACCCCCGCCTCTGTTAGTACACATTTACTGACACAAACATTTGTATCATCTGTTGTAGACCTAAATACATTAAATAAAATAAGAACTCATTCTCAAAAAAGATAAACGCCATTCTTAAAATGTTTAAACGAACAATAGTTAGATTAATATTGATTAGAGTGCACAATAGAAATAAAATAATTCAGAGAAGAAAAAGAGATATGTTATCTATCAAAACCCAGTTAGATTAACATTCATTGGATTGCACACTTAGTTTGTTTGTGTGGATATGTAGCAAATTAACATGTTAAATAGCACTTAATGACTGACTGAATGGAAATGACAATAAATGAAAATGTAAAACGAAAAAGCGATCATGAAAATGTTTCCAATAAATGAATAAAATAATTTCTGACCACTTTGTTGTTCAGATATATCACATATTTGTAACTGAATGATACATTAATTGAAACAAAACACAGTATAAACTGAGGAGTGAGTCCCGTGAGTTTCATGTGTTTTCTTCACTCTGCTGGGAAACTGCTCTCATGTCAAGAAGCATCAGATCAGTGGATGCGCTGCATCGTCCAATCAGTGAGCGATACACAGTAAGGGGGCGGGGCGAGTGGCTGAGGATTTCACCGGAGGATGGTCTGGTGGTTCCTCGGTTATCGCTCCTCCATTATCGCTCCTCGCTCCTCGCTCCTCGATCCTCGGTCCTCCGGCAGAAATAAGAGCCATGGGACGCTACTCAAGATGGCGCAGACAAATCAACTTCCGGTGATACCGAGGACCGAGGACAGAGGAAATGAAAATAGTCGACCTGAGAAGGACCCAAAGTGTGGGAAGATGAGCCTCCCCTCAGAGAACATAAGAACAGCGGAACCCCCCGCCCAATTATTATTGCTATTATTATTATTATTGTTGTTGTTGTTGCTATAATGCAGGGGTATTATGATCCAGTGGAAAGTCCTTACCTACTGGCCTAGTTAAATCAAAGTGGTTACTTTTTTTGGGCTGGGCAGTGTAGTTTTACACACCGTCTTATTTGACTTTCTCACGACCTAAAACAGTTTTTTGGGGGCAGACCCCCACAAAGAAAAAAATATAAATTTACACACGTAAGGTCATCATCTTAACAGTTTGTTATGCTCATCGAGTCATCCGTGAGCAGAGCATCAAGTTGGCATGCCTATAACAGCTGAATGCGGCGATTACCATGTTGTTCAGCAAAACGCTTCACAGACTTATTAAGATCTAAAGCTTTAGTGCGTTTTGATTCAATGCTGAGTACAGCCAAACTTGACAGTCTCTTCTCTGTCATTGTAGACCGCAAATACCTCATTCCTTCCGTGTACTTGGGTCTGAATGCGCCGTCCCGTTCAAATGAAATCGCCGCCAATCACATTTCCTCGCTCGCGCCAGGGCTGGGGGAGGGGTTACAAGGCGGCTCGCGTCTTGTGCTGCATTCACTTGCACTCGGACATTAGGGATTTTCTCTCATAAATGTCCGATGAGCCACAACTTTTATTTCAAAACAAAGCTGACGTTTTCTGCCAGACGCCGTCTCCTCTTTCACTTTAGGTAACTTCACTAAAAATCGATCCATGTTGCCGCTCGCATAAAGTTGGCTGAAGTTATCTAGCTAGATTTCACTGTTTCTCTTTATTTTTTTCTCACGCTGCGCCGCCCCTGAAGCTCTCTGGCGCCCCCCAGGGGAGGCGCGCCTCACACTTTGAAAACCGCTGGTATAGCACCAATTGCCAAGCAGTGGTAAATCTGCAGATACCAGGTGGAACAATAATATGTAGACAGCATCAATTTGTTTTATATTTTGATGGATATTTTACTGTAACCTTTTCTGTTTATGTTAATATATTTATTTCATTATATATTTTTATTGCACTTTTTAAATGAATTTGATATATTTTAAATTTATTTTATATTTTTATTACATTTTTATTTTATTTCATTCTAAAATGCAGCAACTGTCACTAAACCAGTGGTTCTCAAACTTTTTCTGTCAGGCCCCCCCTTTGGAGAAAAAAAAAAGTCGGGCCCCCCCAATACAAATAGTCAGGCTCAGTGGCGGCGCCAGAGATTTATTTTGGGGGTGCTGTGGGGTAGCTTGACGTTTCATAGAGGGTGCTCAAACATTTAGGGTTTCCCATTAATGTACCGGGCGCTACAGTTGAATTTTCTACTGCAACACTCTCCACGCAAATACAGTGTACCCGCGACTGTTACAATGAAGGCTCGATAATCAGCTCACGGCATATAGGTGTAAGCAGGGGTAAAGTGCTATTTTTATAGGTGGTGTGTGGACCTCACATAGGGAAAAGCTCCCCCGGGAAGATTTTTTTTTAAATATTGAAGTTAAACGCATCAATCTGGTGCACTTTGAGAGCAAAATGAACACCCATATGAAACAGAACTGTAAACAGATTTACTTTTTCTTTATGGATATTTTACAAATCACCCTTTTAAACTTTATTCTTGTTTTACTGTCATATAGTATTTCATACCTGTTTTTCATTTATTCTCTTATTTTTTTATAACTATAATGATCATATAAACGTGTGCCTCGGAAATAATTGTTTACATTAATGGTGACCAAAACATTTGAGACCCACTGAGATAACACTGAGAGAGTCCTTTAGCTCACTGAGTCTCTCTGACAGGAGAAGACTCTCCTCCACTTTGTTGTTGAAAAAACTCCTTATATCCGTTAGCGTAGCTCGCTAGCACCAGAAGCTAACAACAACGATCTCCGGTACCGGTGCGCTCTCTCTCTCTCGCTCGTGCACACAAAATGGCTCGTTCCACACACACACAGAGCCGAGCTTTAATGAAACACAGAGACCCAGACGTAATAGTACTGTACTGTATCATATTATTCTCGAATCAATAATTCTTTTAATTATGATTTTATTTATTTTTTAATCTTTTTTTTATTTTTATTTTTATTTTTAATAACCATTTTTCCTCCTGGTCTCTCGCGCCCCCCACTTTGAGAACCACTGCACTAAACCAACATTTCCCCTGGGATAAATAAAGTATTCTGATTTATTTAAAACCAGGGAAAGGCCATATTGTGTTTCTAAAATCAATCTCATTATTGATATATTATGGATACATATTGCCCAGCTGTGTGAGGACTATTCGATAGAATACAGAGGCAAAATCAAATGTTTTCGATAAATGGGGAAACCATTATGAATTATCATGTTTTGTCTGTATTTAATTTTCCTCGTCTCAAGTGGCCAGCCTCATAAGTTTGCAGTTGGCTAGTTGACAGCATGTACTGCCATCTCATGCTGGATATGTGTATTTCCCTTTCCTAGAGTCAGTTAAGGAGCCATGAGAGGGAGCAGCACAGCTTCAGCGAGGACATGTCCGGCCTCACCCCCGTCACTGAAACTGTCTCCATGGTGGAGGACGCTGAGCGGGTCACAGATGATGGTAAGATCTGCTTTCCTAACCCCATTATGTGTTAGGATGGTAAGAAATGATTACAATATTCGGATATAAATGGATGCCCATCTGACCGTTGAGGCCCACATTAAACAGCTGTGCAAGAACTCCTTTTATCACCTCAGGAACATCGCCAAACTCCGCCCCACACTCACTCTGTCTGATGCCGAAAAGCTGGTCCACGCCTTTGTCTCCTCCAGGCTGGACTACGGCAATGCACTCCTCATCGGGATCCCTAACAAAAGCATCCAGAAGCTCCAATACATTCAGAACAGCGCTGCTAGGATCCTGATGAGGGTGCGCAAATATGACCACATCACCCCCATCCTTAAAGCTCCCCGTAGAACTGAGGATCGAATTCAAGGTCTCCGTCCTCACCCACCAGTGTGTCCATGGAACTGCCCCTCCCTACCTCAAGGAACTCCTCACCCCCCATACCTCCTTGCGGACCACCCGCTCCAGCAACTCCAACTTCCTCAAACCCCCCAGGACTAAGCTCCGTACTATGGAAGACCGGGCCTTCTGCTCGGCTGCTCCCAGTCTGTGGAACGCTCTCCCCGACCACATGAGAGCACCACAGACCGTGGAGGCTTTTAAAAAAGGCCTCAAAACCCATCTCTTCAAAAGAGCCTTTGACTAGACCTTCTTACCACCCTTTTATTTTATTTTATTTCTATTTAAAAAAAAAAAAAAAATTGTATTGCTTTTTATTAATTCTACCGTGTTGTGTAATGTTTATTTATACTGTTCATGCTCACTGCTTGTAGCACTTCGGGATTGAAGTGCTTTATAAATGGAACCCATTATTATTATTATTATTATTATTATTATTATTATATATTTCAATCATTTCATGACACAAACCAGTTTGCCCTCCATGCAACTTTTCCTTGTGTTGCCACATGCTTTGTGTCACTGTTTTCAGACATTTTTATTTTTAAATGAATTGTCCTCTCTTACAGAATGTGGTGTGCAGAAGATGTATAAGTGTGATGTGTGCGACTACACCAGCTCCACTTATGTCGGCGTGAGGAACCACCGTCGGATTCATAACTCTGACAAGCCTTATCGGTGAGTTGTTAACAAAAATGCACCACTAAATGCAAGTAATAAAAAAACAAAAACATTAACAGTTATGAAATGTCTACATTTCCTGAAGGTAGTCTTAAATGTTTAAAGGTCCCATGTCATGGCCATTTCTACTGATCATAATTCCATTGTTGAGGTCTACTAGAATAGATTTACATTGTTCAATGTTCCAAAATCACATTGGTTTTCTCATACAGCATCTCTGTATAGTATGTGTATTCACTCTCTGTCCTACACGCCTTGTAGGGGCCCCCTCTCCCTTTATGTGTTACAATGGCGTTTGTTAGCAACCAGAAAAGGCCACCAGTAATGACAAACAGATGAGAATGCTGCGTGGGGTCTGGGTGCCGTGTTGGCGGGACGTTGCGGGGCTCGCTGCTCCGCCCTTTGAGGATCGAGGAGTGGACAGTGTGAGCTGGAATACTGGTGTCGTTTCCTGGTTGCTGCGTGGGGTCTGCGAGACAGCGAGACACTGCGGAACTCAGCCTGAGCGCACACACACACACACACACACACACACACACACACACACACTCACAGCCAGGCTGTTCGCCACACACTCACAGCCTGAGAAAAGATAAGGGTGAGTGTGTGTGCCGGCAAAACTCCGCGGAGTAGCACGGCTGAGAAAAGTTAAGGCTGAGTGTGTGTGTGTGTGAGGAGCTCCACGGATTGGTAGTTTTTGTAACAAAGGTTAGTGAGAGACAATACATTTAACATTGTGATTTTTCCATGTAATGTAAAGCAATGACATAAAACATGCCCTTAGTAATCAATTATATTGGCTAGCGCTCCAACACATTGTACGTGATAGGCTAAAGGACAGGACATCTCTAAGCGGTTGACCAATCACAACAGAGCCGGCCAGCTAACCAATCAGAACAGACTGGGCTCTGGTTTGAGACAGAGGGTGAAAAGAGGTGCTGCAGCACAGGCAGTATGAGAAGAATAAAGATATTTTTGAACTTTAAAGCATGGAGACATGTCACTGTAGAGACACTAAGTACAAATATGAATCTGAAAATGACAAGAATATGTCCTCTTTGAAATGCATTTGTATTTACTTTATCACAGTTCTGGCTGTGATGCATATGATATTATGACCTATTGTGCCACCTCCTGGTCACTGGCCTGTACAACAATATACAAACTTAGAAAACATTTAAGTAGATCCTCGGACACTGCTAGGGCACAACAGGCAAACTAACAGCTTTGCCGTCCATCCTAATCTTGAGGTGGCGCCTTTATATTTGGCGTTTAGACATGTCTTAACTCAAGGAATATATATTTATGACCAGCCTAATTAAATACGCATAGAGGGGGAGAGTTTGGCAGAACTGACGGTGAAGCTGTTTTGTAATGACAGTTTGTTTTCTCGGCCAAGCTTTTAATTAAACCTTCAGTATTGTAAGACATCAATTCGGGGGGTTATGAGTTGGTTGGTGGTCTTGGCACTTTTTGCTTCTGTAACAACTTTCCACTCTTTGCCGTACTTGCATGAACAGTTGTTGTTTAGACTAATCACGCCCCAGCCTCTGACCTACAAGACTTTAGGTTTTTGGTGCGGGTTGAGAAGATAGTCAGTTCGAGTTTAACCAGTTTTCTGGGTTGAAAGCTGACACTGCTGCAGTGGAAACACGAAAAAGGGTTCACAATCACCGGTTCCAAACCTGCCCTGTTACCACCTTGGTGGAAAAGGGGTATCAAGACACAAAAACACTAGTATGGACAAGAACACACATTGAAAAGCCACCGTCCTCCCTCTGTAACACTAACTAGACGAATGTATTTCAATCTCAAATCAATGGAGACACCCAGGTGGAGCAGCGTTCCCTTATTTGGAGCCAAACTGACTTTAATCCCGCAACCAGAAAATGTAGAAAATAATATGTAGTAAAACAACATAGAATCAATTCAGGGAGAGTTGATTGCAAGACAGCATACCTCCATTATTTATACAGCTTCAAATAACTCCACATTCACAAGCTACACGATGACTCCATGACTGTTTTACCCTTTGCTAATCGAAAACGGCGAGGGAATGGAGAATGTTTTGGCGTTCGAGTTGGGAGAATCTGTGCGTTTTAATATGTCGGAACTGGTTTGAAATTGAAGCTGCCATCAGAAATCACTCCCAGAGTTGAGTCATGCGTACACAGCTGTTTATAGGCAGATTCTGTGTGTGTGCAAGAGAAATAAGACCATGTAAATTATTAAGTACCCATGTAACAAGAACATGAACATTATAAATAATTTATCAAATACTCAAACTTCATCTACTCGATGATTTTCAGTTTTTCCACTGGCGTAAAGCATACAGTATATAGTAGGGATGTGCATCTCGATACGATACCAACGATACGATACATTAACGATACATTTGAAACACCAGGCGATACGATACGATACGTTTCACCCCTGTTGCGATACAGTTCGATACGATTTGATTCAACATTATGCGATACGGGGCGATACGATGCGATTCAACACGATGCAAAATAATGATACTTCAATATGGTACGACAGAGGATTTTTGTTTTATTCCTTATATGCAGCAAATCATAGATTAACAAAAAAGTGCTTTACATATTTGGTTCTCTCTACTAGTACTGCACATCCCATCATGCTGTTTCTTTTTTACCTTTTTTACCGTAAAACTCTCCAGAGTACAGTACAATTGTATAACACCTCACAGTTAAACAATCTAAGGATGCATTGCCCATGATTAACAATGTGCAAATAACAACTACCATAGTGCAATGCCCATACAACTGCTGACTGATGTGCTTAACACTCATTCATAGGCTAACTCACCAGTGAGCAGAAAGCAGTGGTTTCTATAGGAACAATAAAGAAAATAACCTTTCACAAACAGGTATTTCATAACTGCTTACAATTGTAAGGAAGACATTTAAACTATTATTGGCAGTCACAGGCTGCTGTAAACTAAACACCACTCTCTCTGACAGAACACCTCACTGAGTGATTTAACTCGTATGTCTTACTTTCAGGTTTCTCTTTTCAGCCGCAGACCCCATGTCGCCTCTTTATGTGCGTCGCTAAGTTCATCGTACTACTTGTGTACTTTAAAGCGGCACGGCATCGTTTACAATTTGCGAGCGATTCTTCAAGTTGTCCTTCTTTCTTGAAAAATCCGAAGTGTTGCCAAACGTTTGATTTGTAGGTATTTTTCGGTGCGCTGTGTTTCACTTTCTCCTCGACTTCCATGTTTGTTGATAACTGAGACTCTCGGCCTCCGTAGTGGCGAAGCAAAGATCGTCTCTGCTGAGTGCTGACAGGATGAGGGATATTATATGAATGAATCGTTTTTTTACCAATGCAAAGACGCTACAATCAATGCATCGCGAGTTCAATTCAAACTGTAGCCGATGTGCACTCTTTCAACCGGTGCACTCGCATCTTGAACGTTTATGCCGGTGCACCGATGCGAATCGGTGAATCTTAACATCCCTAGTATATAGGGAGTTATCAGTTTTGTATATATTAGTTTTAATTTTGTGATTTGAAATTGGTCTTCATAGTATCTAAACTTCCTAAATGTCACAAATACAATGAATTCTTATGTGTTTTACTTAACAATATACTTAAACCTGGGCTCCATTTATTGTTGCTACAGGACATAGTACTGTGTTATTACAATATTTATTGTAATATTCAAATCTGCAGTTGGCATTAGTTCCAATAGACGTTATTGTAGCTTCGACCTTGTATGACTTTTATTCTTTCTACTTAAAAAGTTTTACATTTTTTGAGTTTTATACAACAAAAAGTGTTTTTGCACTCATTCTCTGAATTATTGTTTAAATATGTTAATGATATTTGCTGAAATTACCCATGACATTTAGCTACTGTATAAGGATGGCACATTAGTGATGAAGACATTATTTTGTCTTTTTAGTGTGGCTGATTGCATATTTTTGGGGGACTGATTGCATTTTTTAATCTGTTGCAAATGAGTTATGAACTTTACATACATCTGTGTTAATTATCCTGCACACATTATCCTGCCTCTTTAGACTACACTGAGTTCTGCTGTCCAGTTTGATTTCTCTTACGCATATTAGAAGTACATTTCATGTGTTTCTAAAAATGTTGGCTCTATCTTTAATTGGTTTCCGTGTTCCTGTGTAGTAGTGTTTGTTAGTGAATATTGCATTTTTATATTTTAGCTCCTATTTTAGGCAGAGTAAGATAACCAAGTAGTTGTCAGTCTGTCTGAGATGCACTTGTCATTTCAGAAATGTCCATTAGATGGCAGTACACACCTGCTGATGCTGAGCCAAGCACAGAGCTCCCTGTAGACTCAGACGCACTCTGGGTGTTTCTCAATGTCGAGTAAAGCTGCTCCAGAGCCACTATTTCAAGCACGTCATCGAGTGCCGCCGAAGTACTGTTCCAATGTCCAGCATACTTGGAATTCTACCGAGCCCGGCGTCCTTCGTTTGGAGAAATTTCAAGGCTGCACATGTGTAGACTCCGCCGTCTTAAAATCCCCACAATGCTTTGCGCACGGACCAATTTCACAAAATCTGTGGCGGAAAATGTAAGGCGGGGCCTCTCATATGACGCACACCTGCACACTTGCTCGCCTGTTCCACTCTTCGTTTTCCGAATGCCAGGAAGTATTCTTGCCTCGCTTCTGAAGCAAGTGACTCGGAAGACATGTGCTACCAAGCTAGCGTACTCAACATTGAGAAACACCCCCGGACCCTTTTCAAAACTGACCCCAACAACCACCCGCTCTGTGACCGAGTGAACTCCTCCAAATGTTATCAGTAACCCAGTCTAAGGATCAAAATATGAAAGTAATGTAACCTGATTACTCTCCGTCAATTCTGAATTACCTAAATATCAAAGTATATAATACAGGCAATAATACAGGCCTATGGATTCCATATTAAATGATAAACTGGGTCTACAGAATAGTGTAGTTATCAAATGCTGTTGATGCTAATTGAATAAATGAATTAAAAGCATGGTATTTTTGATTGCCAAATCAGGTGTCCACCAACAGCATTTAAAGAATGAAAGTAGTGTAAATGAATGAATTAAAGGCCACGATAATGCACTGGAAGATAAGCTATAGTTTTACTTGAAACTTAGACTGAGGGAAGATTTGTGTTTTAATGTGTAAGAATAACTTCCTGTTTGACGGTTAAAGAACTTCCTGTTGGAGACAACGCCCACTCTCCACTTGTACTGCTGCGCAGTACGTCTTGTAAACTGATTAACTTGTCGTGAACACATGAGCTTGTGTATGCCAGTATGTTGCAACATGCATTTGATGGAATTTGAGTCAAATGCACATTTTAATTGTAATACTAATTGTGTCTGTTGGCAGTTTACATGTTAATATCATTACAATAGGACACACAGACTGGTCTCATGTACATCGCTTAATATTTGTTATTTACAGCAAAGAGTGCAGAAATGTGCATTACGATTATGTTCCACTGCACTGAAGCGCCATTAGTATTCATTCCTCTCCACCTCGGAAATCAAATGCCAAAACATTTCCATTTAAAGTGCTCGCTGTGTTGTGTAACTGTGCTGTAAAAATGCCAGAAACTTTGCTCTTTTTAGCGTGAGACAAACTTTCAAAATCTGCCAGGTTGTAAGAATCATAAGCTTTCACTCCCTTAATGCATTAAGATGTAAAAAGAGAATATCACATTCTACTGAAAATGTGTCTGACACTGTTTGGGCTGTTTGTATATGCCTATAATAATTAGAGGTACATAACATCATTTCCAGTGATGTGTTTTAGTGATGGTGCAGTAAGTAAATACTGCAAACACTACGCGGTTTAACTTCGCACACTGCGCAAGTGTTCACATTTTACATGAATGATGATTTGTCTTTAATCTGATTGAAATGTAATAAAACTCAAACGTAACCACATGGAACACAAATACGTTTTTTTATGAGGTCGAAGCAATTCACTTGTATTTAAAATTATCCACAGTACAATAAAAACATTATAAAAAGATTAATCAAACATATTTCTGTATATATATATATATATATATATATATATATATATATATATATATATATTAGGCATTGATCCCATTTAGTCTAAAATAAAATGAATCTAACAATGACTAATGAAACACAATGCTGTAAGTCTGTTTGCAATTACTTGATTTTTATTGTTTTTGTTGATTAAATGCATATTTTTATTGTTCCAGCCCCAGTAACTCTCCCATGATTAGGTGCAACTTTTTGTTTTCTCTGACTTCATTTACGCACTGTAAGTGGCCGTGAGTTGAGTGTGGTGAGTTCTCTGCAGACCTTGTACATTATGTGTCTCGAAGCAACTAAAAAAGCCAGTTTCTTCTCCCAACTGAGACACCCAAAGTGGAAAATGTTTCGGATCTATTGTTTTCCTTTAAGTGGCATTCCTTCTGTCTTGCCTAAATCCCTTCTCTCCCCTTCAGGCTATGAGTGTAAAAGCACAACATGACCTCAGAGGGCGTCCTGTTAAACTCCATGTTCTCTCATCTCTCCTTTCTCCAGGTGCTGTAGCTGTGAGTTTGCCACCACCAACATGAACAGTCTGAAGAGCCACATGAGGAGACACCCCCAGGAGCACCAGGCCGTGCAGCTGCTGGAGCAGTACAGGTGAGAGAATCCTGCAGGACCCCCGAGGTGGGAATGAAGAGCTGTGCCCGGCCCAGAGAAGCTGAGGTTATCAGAGTCTCTGGGGTGAGCACTTTGTGTCGCATGGTCCCAGCAGCCTGTGAAGGAATGGGCTTCTATTTGGCAGGGGAGAAAGTGATGGGGAGTAAATACTCTCTCTGTCATCCTTAAAATGTACCTTGACCAAGCCCCTGGTTGGTGATTTCCACTTCACTAAAACACTCATCCGTACCGTAGGTGTAGAATGCCCATGTTTCCATGCATTAGAAAATACACTCTGTTAAGGGCACTCATGAGTAAGTAAGAGGACTTGAGAGAGTGTTAAAAGTGGGCCAAATTGAAGCAGTAAGTCCAGACTTACAGGTACCTGTAAAAGTAATTCAACTTTTGGAAACTGTCAATATTTGGTTTATCCAATCTTAATAATAATAATAGATTACTTTTGTTATCGCTTTTACTGTACAGGTGCTCAAAGTCGCTTTACAGAGATAGTGACAAGAAAAGAACAACAAATAAATATAGTTAAAGTCAAATTTAAAATCAAGCAATACAAAAGCAATCACACATTAAAAGCCAGATTGAAGAGGTGAGTTTTTGTGAGTTTTTTGAAGGTGGTGAGGTCAGTGCAGTCTCTGATAGGTTGTGGGAGTGAGTTCCAGAGGGAGGGGGCAGCGACGGAGAAGGCTCTGTCCCCCCAGGTCCGGTGATTGATGCGGGTGGGGATGGATAGGAGGTTGGCTTCTGATGAGCGGAGGCAGCGGGAGGGGGTGTGGTGGTGCAGCAGGTCTGTGAGGTAGGGGGGGAGCCTGGTTGTTGAGGGCTTTGTGAGTAATGAGGAGGACTTTGAAGTCGATTCTTTGACGGACGGGGAGCCAGTGGAGGTTCTGGAGGACGGGATTGATGTGGTCTCGGGAGCGGGTGTGGGTGAGAAGGCGGGCAGCAGAGTTCTGGATATGTTGTATGATTGTAGTTTATTGAGGAGGTTGGATGGTATACCGTAGAGCAGGGGTTTTCAAAGTGTGGGAAGATGAGCCTCCCCTCAGAGAACATAAGAACAGCCGCGCCCCCCCCCCCTCCCAATTATTATTGCTATTATTATTGTTGTTGTTGCTATAATGCAGGGGTATTATTATCCAGTGGAATGCCCTTACCTACTGGCCTAGTTAAATCAAAGTGGTTACTTTTTTTTGGCTGGGCAGTGTAGTTTTACACACCGTCTTATTTGACTTTCTCACGACTTAAAACTGTTTTTTGGGGGCAGACCCCCACAAAGAAAAAATATATTTACACACGTAAGGTCATCATCTTAACAGTTTTTTATGCTCATCGAGTCATCCGTGAGCAGAGCATCAAGTTGTCATGCCTATAACAGCTGAATGCGGCGATTACCATCTTGTTCAGCAAAACGCCTCATTAAGATCTAAAGCTTTAGTGCGTTTTGATTCAATGCTGAGTACAGCCAAACTTGAAAATGCTTCTCTTTCTGCGCCGTCCCGTTCAAAAGAAATCGCCGCCAATCACATTTCCATGCTCGCGCCAGGGCTGGGGGAGGGGTTACAAGGCTTGTGCTGCATTCACTTGTACTCTGACATTAGGGATTTTCTCTCATAAATGTCCGATGAGCCACAACTTTTATTTCAAAACAAAGCTGCCAACTGGGGTGGCAGCTGGGGTGGCAAGGCTATTTTTAGGGTGGCAGTTGCCACCCCATGCCACCCCGGTAGATCCGCCCCTGCTTGACCGGTACTTGCTTTTGATCAAAGTCAATGCGGAAAACCCGCACCAGTGTTAATTTCGTCAACGAAAACTATGACGAAAAATGTTCGTCAACGACCTTTTTTATATGCAGTTCATGCTTCATTTGTGTTTCTGGATCAACAGAGCTTTCCAGCAGACAGGTGTCAATGTGTCGGAAAAACAAAGCGGGGGGGATTACAGACTCCTCTCCTACAGGGGAAAGCTTTGGAGACCTGGTGTGAAAAATTCTCGCCCCCACTTTGTCAAGGTGTGAATGGCTTCTCACAAAAGGAGACTGTGTCAATGCATTCACACCGAGGAGAGAAAGGAAGAAGAAGAGGAGAGACAAAAGACACATTCACATACTGTAGAGCAGAAAATAAACTTATGCCCCGGCTCCACGGGGACGAAAACGGGTTGAATCCGCATATTTCTCATGCGTATAGCCCTCTAAGCTCGACGACGCCGTAAGGGAAACGTAGAAACAGACCCCGCAAACGACAACGGGTCCAAAGGTGGATAGATCTGGGAACGGAGCGCTCTGGGGGGTCCAACGGGGCGTGTGGTCGCCTATACGGTCATCCGTTTCATAGCCCCGCCTCTCCCCGCCTCTCCCCACCTCTCCCCACCTCTTTGCGTACCCCGCATCATTGCTGATGTGTTTCGTTAACAACAATAGCTATTTTAATTACCTCTCAAACTACCTAAACTAGTTATAAATATGTTTATTTTTACTGTCGAGTCATCATTACTGGATCAGCTGCTGCATGAGACAGACACTGACGCTGTGAGAAGAGAGGAAAAAGAGACAGAATCCGTGTATTTTATGATTATATATCATTATATCGTCGTTATTCATTTGTTTTAAAGCTCAATAAATAACAAAGAAGACCTTTGACCGGCACTTTTATAATTTTGTCCGGAAGATTTAAACTTTAACACACGTTGACTGGCGAAAAACTCTGCCCGGATCCCTTGGCCCCCACCGCGGAGAATAAACAGAAGTGCAGCCATGACAACCATTCTTCTTCGCTGCTTTTGTGGAGGAAGTTGCTGCTTTTGGTGGAGGAAGTTACAGCGCCACGTACAGGCTCGGCATATGTACTGCAGCTTTTCCAGCGGTTGGATGTAAACGGAGCCGTCTCGTGGAGCTTGACACAATCCGGTGTATATTGCGTGGGGACGGAAGGTTTTTTGCGGTTGCATTTGCGTTACTCCGATGCGTTTTGCCGTTTTCGTCCCCGTGGAGCCGGGGCCTTAACGTCTCAACATCCTTAAATCTGCAGTAGAAGTGTGTATGATGGTGTAACTGCTATGTAGCGTGCAGCCTGTCAGTGTGTCTTTAACAAGAACAGCTGCAGGGCAACACAATTTACCAAAGATTTGTGGTGTCTAGGTCTTCTGTGGAATGGCATATGTCACAATATGTCATTTTCTGCCACTAGGGGTTTGTTCATCAAAAACATTGGCAAAGACGAATTCTGGTGGCATTGTAAAGTAGTGGTTGATCACGGGAGTATGTTATTGCAATCAGCTGAATTTATATTAATAAAAAAAGACAGATTGTTCAAAGGTATCTACAATTCTTGGAAAGCTTTGGGGTAATGTAAGCATTTATTCCGTTTTATGATTCAATTATTATTCTGGGCACAAAGTAACACTAAACAATAACAAGGTGTAAGAGATGGGAGACAAACCTTTCACTGCAATTTAAGATAATTTTTCATTAAAAAGATTGCTTTAAATTGTATAAATCTGAAGGACTAAAAAAGATAGCTTTTAAAAACATATATTATTTGATACAGAAGAGACACATCTTTAATCCCAAGGCTGAGTGAAGAATAATAGTGCAATATTTTACAAATCCACTTGTTTGCTTTACTGCAGAGAGTAAGAAGAAAGATGAACACCACTCTCATGTCTTACAGTAAAAATGAACCTGCAGTTTAGCCTAGTTTAACATTAATACTAAAAACAGCAAGCATGGCTGTGTGTTGTCGTCACTGAGAGGCTGCCAGGCAACCAGCAGAGACTGTTAGACCACAAGTTGTTTTTATTACACTTTGGTATGTGTACAGATTAAACAAACCAGTGTTAATTTGTGAGCTTTTCAGAGGCTGGTAAACTTCCTTAAATCTCCATTTAATGTTAAACACACAGATCACTCTGAACTCTCACTCAGACGAGACGATGACGAGCTGAAAATAGATTCTTGATAACGAAAACTATGACGAAATGTATATTTAGTTTTTGTTGACGAGACGAGACGAGACGAGACGGGACTAAGGTGTTAATGGTGGACTATCGGACATTCAAAATGCAGGGTATTTCCCCCCAAGTGTCCATCTTGTCTGTCAAAATGCATCTTACGTTTCTAACTTGCAATATCATTATTTCCGCTCTCTTCACTCCAGAAGAGCGATCTCCTCTCTGTGTGCGGGGGGCGGGGCCTAACAGACACGCTGCAGCGGACACAGAGATCTGCCGGGGACGGAGCGTTCAGAGAGTATAGAGACACTCTACAAGGCTCGATGTGGAAAAAGCTTGTTTGCCATTAGTGTTTTCGCGTTAGCGCGTTGACACGAGTAGAGTAGTCTGTCCAAACAGCCGGCCAAAAGGCGTCATATTCAGTCGGAGAAATGCACAATTTTCGACTTCCTTAACTCGTAGCTCTGTTGCGCCAATTACGAGTAACCTTATCACATCAGGTGCGCAGAGGTGGGAGAAGTACTCAGATCTTTTAGTTAAGTAAAAATACCATAGTGTATGAATACTCTGTTACAGTAAAAGTCCTGCATTCAAAATGTTCCTCAAGTAAAAGTGTAAAAGTAGTCGTTGTGCAGATTGGTCCATTTCAGAATAATATATATATGATATGTTTTATAATGATTGATCATGAAAGTGTTCTCAAAGCTGGTAAAGGTGCAGCTAGTTTGAAGGACTTTGTATACTGCAGGGTAACTTGTGAATTTACTCCAGGTGGAACTAAAGTCTGATTTAAGAGTTCATTATATTTCACATCATTCATCCACATCTGTGAAGTAACTAAAGGTATTAAATACATGTAGTGGAGTAGAAGTACATAATTTACCTCTGAACTGTAGTGGAGTAGAAGTACTAAGTAGCAAAACATTTAAATGTAAAGTACAAGTACCTCAACATTTTACTCAAGTACAGTACAATATAATAACATAATTATACATATTTTATTTATTTATTTCACATGTACATAAAGCAATGTTAATTCGGTTAACAATTTGTTTAGTTTTTCCCTTTAAAAAATAACAAAAAGTACCTACAAGAATACCGTTAAAGTACCGGATCGATAAGCAGTTTCGATAAGAGTAGTAGTACCGTTAAAAACCTTAGCGATACCCATCCCTAGATATTACACAAGTAAAGTGTTAAGAGAATGAAATGTTGCTTTACGAATTTCAACACTTGATGCTGTCACCTTGATTCCAATTTCAGATACCTGTATTTGCCTAACTGAATTAGTTTAAAGAGAGAAAACATTTTGACTAAAAGTTGACTAAAACGTTTTGAGTTTTCGTCGACTAAAACTAGACTATAACTACGAAGGATAGGAATGACTAAAATGTGACTAAAACTAATAACCATTTTCGTCTAAAGATAAAGACTAAGACTAAATCAAAAACAGCTGCCAAGATTAACACTGACCCGCACTCACACAGGTAGGCGGAGGTGAAGGGAATGAGCACTTTTACAGCCTTTTTGGCAAGGTGGGGGAACTCGGTCTCCACAGACCATGGATGTATAATAAGAACTGGATACAGCGTGGGAGGCGGGGCCTCGTTCATTCCTATGAGAGTTGCTCATTGGCGCATGAAGACAAAATGGCCCAACTTTTGAGAGAGAGAAACGTCACGAAAGTATTCAAATAATCACATAATCCGTTCTTATTGTGCATCCATGGGTAAAGGTAAAACTCATGTAGTACTGAACACGTCACATGAACGTGCCGGGTGGCGCGGTCCCGTGGGTTAGATCCACGTTCATAATGCAGAGGAAAAGAACTCTTAGAATAACGTTATTAGCACATTTTACAACTTGAGGACCGAATGTTTTTAATAAGGGCTATACAAATGTTCATACTGGGTAGTTTATTTAGTTTAAAACAAATTATCCAACGATTTACAGACGTCTCTTTCCCAATGTTAGTCAATGGGAAAAAGTATTTCCGGGCCCAGCGACTGATACGGAAGTGTAGTACCGCTGTTTGGCCACAACAAATATTTTCCTTAGAGTCCGGCGCACTTCCTGGGGGCTTGCCACAGACAGCCAAAAGTGTGCAAGTGACGTTTTCTGCCAGACACTGGCCGTTTCTCAATGTCGGGTATACCTGCTGCAGAGACACTATTTCAAGTATACTACGTCATCGAGTGGCGCCAAATGCTGGGCATTTAACATGCATTCAAACAGTCCTTCGGCGCCACTCGATGACGTAGTATACTTGAAATAGTGGCTCTGCAGCAGGTTTACTCGGCATTGAGAAACGGCCACCGTCTACTCTCTCACTTTAGGTAACTTCACAAAAAATCGATCCATCGCTCGCATAAAGTTAGCTGAAGTTAACTAGCTAGATTTCACTGTTTCTCGTTATTTTTTTCTCACGCTGTGCCTCCCCTGAAGCTCTCTGGCGCCCCCCCGGGGAGGCGCGCCTCACACTTTGAAAACCGCTGCCGTAGAGGATGCTATTGCAGTAGTCGAGTCGTGATGAATGCATGAATCAGGGTTTCAGCAGCAGAGGAGGAGAGTGATGGGCGGAGGCGGGCAATGTTTTTGAGGTGGAAAAAGGCAGTCCTGGTGATGTGATTTATGTGGTGATTGAATTTGAGCTGACTGTCGAAGATGACTCCGAGGTTGCGGATGTGAGGGGTGGATAGAGTGTTGCCGTCAAGGGTGAAGTTGAAATTCTGGATGGTTTTAGTTCGGGATGGGGGGGCCGATGATGTCTGATTTGGCACTGTTCAGTTGAAGATAGTTTGTTTGCATCCATGCTTTTATTTCTGAGAGACAGTTGGTGAGTGTGGAGTGTGTTGTGGGGGTGATGGTTTTTGTTGAGATATAAAGTTGGATGTCATCGGCGTATTAGTGAAATTGAAGGTTGTGGCGACGAATGATTTTGCCAAGGGGGAGCATGTAAAGGATAAAGAGGAGGGGACAAAGCAGGTGCAGATGTTGATAAACTGATCGGTTTGTCGGTGAGGTAGGGTTAATTTGAGTGATGATTCCAGGCAGGACAGCAGGATGGTGTGGTTGATGGTGTCGAATGCTGCGGTGAGGTCAAGGAGGATGAGGAGAGGAGGAGGTCATTTGTGATTTTGAGAAGAGCTGTTTCGGTGCTGTGTTTTGATCGGAAACCTGGCTCAAAGAGGTCATTGGAGCTGAGGTGGGATTTTAGTTATGAGGCAATGACACGTTCAAGTATTTTTGACAGAAAGGGGAGATTTGAGATGGGCCGGAGGTTGGACATGATGTCAGGTGTGAGTCCAGGTCTTTTGAGAATGGGTGTGACAGCAGCCAGTTTGAGAGAGGGGGGAACTGATCCAGATCTGAGGGAGGAGTTAATGATGGTGGCGATGAGTTTTGGAGGGCATTGGGTCAAGTGTGCAGGTGGAGTTAATTCCAGTCATGAAGTCGGACAGTTGCATGGGGGTCACAGGGGAGAAGTGGGACAGGGGCTGTGAGGTGAAAGGGGGGGAGCCAGGAAGGGAGGTGGGGGGTGCTAATGAGGGTGTCGGATTGCTGCAAATGTTGCTGATTTTGGTTTGGAAAAACGAGAGGAAGGAGTTGCACTGTTCGGTGGTGAAGGATGAGGTGGTGTTTTCACAGGGTTTGAGAAGTTTGCTGATGGTGGAGAACAGACGCTTGGGGTTGCTGGAGCCAGACTGAATGAGTTGTGAGTAGTAATTAGACCGGGCTGCTTTGAGTGCGTTACTGTACTGCTGGAGATAGGGGTGTAACGGTTCACAGAATTCACGGTTCGGTATGTACCTCGGTTTGGGAGTCACGGTTCAGTACGGGTTCGGTACAACAAGAAAAAGCAAAAAGAAATCCCAAATGCATAATTCCAGGTTTGTTTTTTTATTTATTTTGAACAGTAGTGCAAGTTTCAGTTTAAAAATAAGGAACTCTAACATTTTGAATAATGAACTTTATTACACAGTTAAAAACAAACCACAAACAGTACAGACCACACACACTCAGATGGCCATATTATCTATAATGGCTGATGTCAAACAAAAAGGTTCAATGAGCTGTAAAACTAAAAAGAATGTCTTGAAAATATTACAAAATAAATAATAAGATAGTGTTTCAATCACTTTCAATCACAATCAATAAAAGCCGGGGTCCTCTACTATTGCATAAGGGCGCAGCATAGCCGTTGAAAAACATATATATATATATTTTTAAACACCTTGAATTTCAGGGGGGGCGCGGGGCTCCGTTGGCGGGGCGCAGCGCCCCTCCAAGACAATGGTAGGGGAAACACTGCACAAAATAAAAAATAAAAATTCTGATCCAGTCGTCATGACTCCACTCCGGAGGGATTCCCCGATTATTTCTTACAGTTTCTCATTGAGGGGGGGGTCTCCTGTCCCCGGCACATCACACTGCCTGAGGAAGGTTATGTGTTTTTTGTCATTAACTTTTTTCGGACCACTTATTTATTTATTTTGGTGACGATCCGACCTCCATGCTGCTACTCTGGTTCAAACTGCATCCACCAAACAATATGATTTATCTCGACCTCCCCAAAATAACCTAAATCTGACACGGTGTGAGATGTCTTTTTTTAGCTGTTCTGTCCTCATTTCCTGTGATCTTCTTCCTGCAGTCAGTCAAAATGAATATTAATACGGGCGTTTCTTTGACTATTTATAGGCAAATATGGGCGTTACGTGAAGCCCGCAAAAGCTGCGCCGCATTTCGAGTTGATTGTGATTTATAAAGGGAAACCGGCGTAGGACGTGCGTGCGCAGTGTTTTATAAATCGGAATATTTGTGTGCGTATTTATTTGCTTTGTCCTACGTACGCCACCTTCCCACGTGAATCCTACGCAAAGCTTTATAAATAAGGCCCCTGGTCAGGAAAGCTCCTCACCAGGTGGGACGTGTAAGGATGTTATTTGATGAAACACCAGCAGAACAAATAGAGTCTGTAGGAAAAGGAAAACACATTTTATTCACTCTAATATTTGTACAATATAAGAACCCCCGTTATTTAGTTATTTCAAGCTTTAATGTTGAAGCTCGAAATCGAGAAATGTTTTGTTTTCAGCGGTAGCTGAAGTTGCTCAGCAAAAGCTCAAGAAACAGCAGCAGATAATACAGCCACATGTAGAAGGCCCTTTCTGGAGCCACAGTTTAGGATGTCCTGGCTTGACAACTGTTTTTTTTAGCTACCAAAACCAACAAACATTTTTAGTTTATGGTGATTATACACTTACAATTCAGTCTAATTACTTCACTCGTCTACAGTAAATCCTCTTTCCTCCCTCCACTCTCTGTCAGGCTCAGTACTGCGTGTGGAGTCTTGAGTCAGGATGAATTCTCCTCCTAGAAGGATTAATTTTGACTTAATAAAATCAGGAAGCAAATTGAATTAACTTCCCCTCTCACTCTGTGGCTCTCTCTCCCCTCTGCTCCAGGTGCTCCCTGTGTGGCTATGTGTGCAGTCACCCCCCCTCCCTCAAATCCCACATGTGGAAGCACGCCGGAGACCAGAACTACAACTACGAGCAGGTCAACAAAGCCATCAACGAGGCCATCTCCCAGAGCAGCCGGTAAACACTACCATAGTACCATAGTACCATAGTACCATAGTACCATAGTACCATACTACCAGACTACCATAGTACCAGACTACCATAGTACCAGACTACCATAGTACCAGACTACCAGACTACCAGACTACCAGACTACCAGACTACCATAGTACCATAGTACCAGACTACCATAGTACCAGACTACCATACTACCATAGTACCAGACTACCATAGTACCAGACTACCATACTACCATAGTACCAGACTACCATACTACCATACTACCATAGTACCAGACTACCATAGTACCATAGTACCAGACTACCATAGTACCAGACTACCATACTACCATAGTACCAGACTACCATACTACCATAGTACCAGACTACCATAGTACCAGACTACCATACTACCATAGTACCAGACTACCATAGTACCAGACTACCATACTACCAGACTACCATAGTACCAGACTACCATACTACCATAGTACCAGACTACCATACTACCATACTACCAGACTACCATACTACCATAGTACCAGACTACCAGACTACCATAGTACCATACTACCATAGTACCAGACTACCATAGTACCATAGTACCAGACTACCATACTACCATACTACCATAGTACCAGACTACCATAGTACCATAGTACCATAGTACCAGACTACCAGACTACCAGACTACCATAGTACCAGACTACCATAGTACCAGACTACCAGACTACCAGACTACCAGACTACCAGACTACCATAGTACCAGACTACCATAGTACCATAGTACCATAGTACCAGACTACCATAGTACCAGACTACCATACTACCATAGTACCAGACTACCAGACTACCATAGTACCATAGTACCAGACTACCAGACTACCAGACTACCAGAGTACCATAGTACCATAGTACCAGACTACCAGACTACCATACTACCAGACTACCAGACTACCATAGTACCAGACTACCAGACTACCATAGTACCAGACTACCATAGTACCATACCACCAGAGTACCATACCACCAGACTACCAGACTACCAGACTACCAGAGTACCAGACTACCATAGTACCAGACTACCATAGTACCAGACTACCATAGTACCAGACTACCATAGTACCAGACTACCATACTACCAGACTACCATACTACCATACTACCAGACTACCATACTACCAGACTACCATAGTACCATAGTACCAGACTACCAGACTACCAGACTACCATAGTACCAGACTACCAGACTACCAGACTACCATAGTACCAGACTACCATAGTACCAGACTACCATAGTACCAGACTACCAGACTACCAGACTACCATACTACCATACTACCAGACTACCAGACTACCATAGTACCAGACTACCATAGTACCAGACTACCAGACTACCATAGTACCAGACTACCATAGTACCAGACTACCATAGTACCAGACTACCAGACTACCAGAGTACCAGACTACCATACTACCATACTACCAGACTACCATACTACCAGACTACCATACTACCAGACTACCATAGTACCATAGTACCATACTACCAGACTACCAGACTACCATAGTACCAGACTACCATAGTACCAGACTACCAGACTACCATAGTACCAGACTACCATAGTACCAGACTACCAGACTACCATAGTACCAGACTACCATACTACCAGACTACCAGACTACCATAGTACCAGACTACCAGACTACCAGACTACCATAGTACCAGACTACCATAGTACCAGACTACCAGACTACCATAGTACCATACTACCAGACTACCATACTACCAGACTACCATACTACCATACTACCATACTACCATACTACCAGACTACCAGACTACCAGACTACCATAGTACCATACCACCAGACTACCAGACTACGATACTACCTGCTACAGCCGTGGCTGTACTCTGAGTTTCTCTCAGGTTCATCTCTGTGACTCAGCAGACATCTACCCTGGAAAACACTTCTGCATGTGTCCTTTCTATATGTATACATATTACACTTAATTTGTGAGCCCTTGATAAAAGCCAATATTTGGATTTCATATGCACTTTTACTTTCAAGCTCTACAAAAATAAATGTAAGAGTATTGAATTTATGCTTTTTTAAACAACCTTTAAGCTAATTTAATACTAATTATATACATTAGTTGGCCATTTTACCCTAGTAAGTGGTTTCCCTCTAGGCTCATGATTGTTCTGACACCATTAATAATAATAATAATAATAATAATAATAATAATAATAATTATTATTATTATAATTATATTGCACAGTTGGAAAACAATTTTTTTTCTTGATTTTGTATTTGTGTACAGCAGGGATCACCAACTACATTTGTCCAAGGGCGCAAATGTATCCAATAGACACTATCGCGGGCCAGCGATTTTTATATAGCCCAGAATTTTGCTAGTGGAGCACGCTCAGGTACTGCGGACCGCATAAAGCTTAGCAGACTCTTCATGCTAACGAAGGATCACTTCTAGGCAGGGTTGGGAGGGTTACTTTGTAAATGTAATCAGTTACTGAATACTGAATACATGCTCTGAAAGTAATCAGAATACAGTTACAGTTACGTGTCTTCAAAAAGTAACGTATTGAGATTACTTTTAGAATACTTTTGGAATACTTTCTTTTTCCATAACAGATGGGTATGTTTTGGTGAACAGGAGACACTTATTTTACTGTTTTAATGGCTTATCAAGAACTCAAACACAACATCTTGGTGTCATTCTGGACAGCTCCCTCTCATCTGCACCCCACATAAAAAACATCACCCGGACTGCATTATTTGTACTGTCTTAAAACCTTTCCTTGGTATATGTTATGAATTGTAAGGTGTCCTTGGGTGCTTTGAAAGGCGCCCCTAAATAGAATGAATTATCATTATTATTTATTATCTGAAACGACGTAATAACTTTTAAAACTGTTTCCAGTCACTTGCCCCATGCATTCAGCAGCAGCAGGCCATTCACTTTGATTTGATCCCGTTATGAAATGTCATCATTTCGACAATAAAGAAATGCTACATAAACGTTATCTTGCACATTTTATCGAACCATCTCCATTTCTAACTTTCAATATATTTTAAAAGAGATCTCTCTCTCTGATCTGCGTGCGGGGGCGGGGCCTCACAGACACGCTGCATCTCTCTCTCTCTCGCTCACAGACATGCTGCAGCGCTGTGCAGTGTGCACACAGTTCTGCCGGTAATGAATATTACATTTTATGAGGAAACTTTTCCTCCAATAATTCCAATAAGTATTCCAAAATCTATTCACTTCAGGTTTACGAAAGTAACTGTAATCAGATTACTCGTTTTTCAAATGTAACGCGAGCTGAATACAGTTAGCCTACTTGATTTTTGTATTCTGATTACGTAACGCCGTTACATGTATTCCGTTACAACCCAACCCTGCTTCTAGGCTACTGTCCCGCAGCTTCTGCCTCTCTGTTGGACTCTGTCGCAGCGGGGCTACTGCTGTGGTGCGGAGCGCACAAAGCAGACTCTTCACAACGAAGGATCACTTCTTCTTCAAGGCAGGGAAGGTCAAATTACTCACGAGACGTACAAAAAAAAATGGGTGGGGACGAACGCAGTAACCACTCCGCCAACGCCACAGTCACACCCGTCGTGCGGGCCGGATGAGAATGTCTGGCGGGCCGGATGTGGCCCGCCGGCCGCCAGTTGGTGGTCACTGGTGTACAGCATGTACTACATTTGATTGTTTAATTGTAAATGTTCTCTATTATTTATTGCTGATATTCTTATTTAGTAAGCATCCAAATATTATCATGTTGTTTTTTTATCACAAAGCCCAATGTTATGTTAAGTAAAATAACATTGAAAAATATAATCATCATATAGCTTTCATTTGTAAGGCACCTTTAAAAGTGTGTTTGGCAGAAAGAGCAGTGACTGTCATCTGTCACTCTGCGTCAGAGGGATAATAGATTTTTGGCAGCAAGTTACTTTTATATATCCAACAGATGTCAACAAAAACAAAAATGGGCGGTGTGCTTTTATGAAACTTTCCTTAATTAGCCAAAAATGTCCTTAAAGTGAGATGTGCAGCAGTCAGTTAATCTCTCTCCTTCTGTTGCTGATTCCTTCATTTCCTCAGAGCTCCTCAGAAGCTGCCGGCGGTGATGGAGTCAGCAGCAGAGCGACCTGCGGGGGCCCCCCCCACAAAGGGCCCCGTGGAGGCAGCAGCCGGCCTGGCATTGGACAGCTCAGCTACCCTGCCTACACCTACCACGGAGCCCTCACAGTGGCCCGGTGAAGCCCTGAGCCCCCAGAGGAAAGACTCCGCTCTGCTGCAGCAGCGCTCCAGTCAGGCCCCCGCCTCGGGCCCCGGCTCTGGGATGGAGTACTGCGTCCTCCTGTTCTGCTGCTGTATCTGCGGCTTCGAGTCCACCAGCAAGGAGCGTCTGATGGAGCACATGAAGGAGCACGAGGGCGACATCATCAGCATCATCCTCAACAAGGAGCAGCAAGCACAGGCAGCGGAGTGACAGCTGCCCCCCCCCCCCCCTCTCTACAATAACACTGACCCTGAACTGCTGCCCTCTAAAGTATTTCATGTTTCCTTACCTCGAGGTGGTTATAAGGTGTTAAACATTTCACGTCTACTGTTCCACAGAACTGTACGGAAGACCATTAGGGCCACATGAGAAACACACTTTGGGATGTGAGCAAAAGTAAAACAACATTTTGAGTTCTGGCTTTAAACTCAAGACACTGAGAAAGCAGTCAGAATCCTGAGAAAAAAGGTCAGTATTCTGAGATTAAAGACTTTTTTTAATTCCAAATTGTGACTTTTTACTCAGAATCCTGAGATTAAAGTGAAAGAAAGTCTGAATTCTGAGAATAAAGACGGAACTCAAAATGTTCTTTTCTTTTGGTCACATCCCTACATTTCTTTCTCGTTTGGCCCTAATTATCTTCCGTAGAACTGTCATTTCTCAGAATGACATTATTTTCTGAGTGTAACATCCTTTTTAAAAGGGATTTCATACAAATGATAGCAATTTTTTTCTAGGCCGTTTTTTACATTAAGATGTCTGTAGGGAAGTGATTTAAATGTCAAGGGAAACCCGAGCTCTAACCAAGTTTATTTCTCAACATACAGGGACAAAATCATACCTCACAAAACCATACAACCCCTCACCAGAAATGGGAAAACCCATTTCCAGTCTATTTCATATATTGACCACGAGGCAGCTCTCTTATTGCTTTTGTAATATGTAATGTATTTGAAGTGATGCGGTTGAGGAGCTCCAAACTGACCATGTCTAACAGGCATCTATCGCAGCTTGCATAGGATTCAATATTTATCACTTTATTTGTATGCATGTTTCTGTTGTGCCAATTCTAAAGAGGCAAATGTTTTTTTTTGTATGTGTGACTGTAATTTGACTTGTCTGATCATATATATTATTTTATTATATTTCTATAGAGGAAAACGGTAAAGTTGTCAGAAAAGTGGGAAGTATGGCAAACCCTTTTTAATATTTGATCAGCAATTCATTTGAGATATCTGTAGAAATGTTTTGACATGTCACACATATATTTTCACATGTAGATATTACATTTAAACACGTCAAAACTGATTTACAGATATCTTTAATTTAATAATATTTTCAATATTCCCCTTAATGCTAGTAAGAATAACACTGGCTGATGTAACAAACATTTTATTTTCACATTTAAACCCTCAGAAATTGTATTTTACATTACATTTTGAATATGTAACACACAAATTACCTAATCATTTCTATCTGTATAACACATTTTTTTGCTACTACAGTTTTATTTTTCAATTCCAGAAATCACATTCTTACTAGTTAAAATGACAAACCAAAATGTCAATTATGACATTTTGAACATTCAATGATTCATTATAGAATGTACGATATTTTGAATAATATATAAATCATCTAACAATTATAGATATCTACAAAATACATGTCCAAAAGTGACCATTTTGTTGTTGATATGAATAATTAACATATTTACTAGTAGAAATGACTTATAGATATCATTTATTAGAATTACAACTAGACACAATGACATTATTGATTTGTCGACTTGGAAACATAACCTGTCAAAATGTAGTCTACTATTCAGTTTGAATAGAAGTCAACGGTAAACTAGTTGGTTACAAATTACTCTAATAAGAAATGAGTTGTGGACATAAATAATTCACATTTTGACTGATGAGAAAGTAATTGTAGCTAATAATAAATATAAAAAGGGTTTGCCATGGTGGACGTTGATAAAGAACTGGTCTTTGATGGTTGTAGTCTATAGACAGGTATTGGGTTAGGGTATGTTGACAAGAGGAATAATCAAAAGGGAAGTTAGCGTATGTTGCGCTGTTATTTAAATCGAATGGTGCCTAGATATTTCAAAGCAGGAATATTTTGTTATTTAATCTCATCCACCTGTTCTTCACGTGTGATTGTGGTGCTAGGATCACAGAGGTCTCATTGAAAGTATAGTCTGTTTTTTTTTTATAGCCCATGCAATTTATTTTGTATATATTACCATTTTTATAATAACCTCTGCTCTTTTTGTCAGTGTTTTTAAAATACAAACTTTCTAGTGTCAAACGCAACATGGAATGACTGCTGTCCTGCTAACAGACATGGATGTAGAAAATAAAGTTTGGAGGCGACACGTTTTTTGAAGTTTATTGTCCCGTTCTGAGGGTCTAGTAGAGTATAATATAACTCTATACTCGGCACACTGTAATGACGATAAAACAGGAACTTGAACCTTGACCTTGTGTGATGGATGGATCAAAAGAATTGGATACAGTGGGTGTTTCTCAATGTCGAGTAAAGCTGCTCCAGAGCCACTATTTCAAGCATACTACGTCATCGAGTGCCGAAGAAGTACTGTTCCAATGTCCAGCATACTTGGAATTCTACCGAGCCCGGCGTACTTCGTTTGGAGAAACATGTGTAGTGGCCCATGAAGCCAAACGTACATGACTGGGAACACCCAGATTTACAAGGATATGTACAGCGGCTGTATGTGTTGTCAAATGGGAAAAAGTATTTTGACCTCATGGAAGCTGTAGTACCACCGCTTGGCCACAACGCCCGTTCCAAAAATCTATTCAAAATAATTTAGCTCAAAAGAAATTCTGCTGATTAACATACGTCTCTTACCAAATGAAAGTCAATTGAAAGAAGTTTTTTCGAGTCCGATGACGCACTTGACCAACACATCCTGAGTTATTTTTATTAGGAAATATTTTTTTCAAACCTATAACTAATTTCCACCAATCTAATGTATCATGCAGTCCAGTCTGCGGTCAGTATGTCATCCACACACACTGAGATTGAGGAAATTAAGGTAATCCATAATTCATGCCCCCCTTCCCCACCTGACATAACAGCTTGAAACTCATCTGCATGTGAGCACGTGGCGATAAAACAAAATGAAATCTTTATCTCAAAGACCTGCTTCCTGGCCTGGAGTTCTCATTATAATAGCATATCATTATTGTATGACTTTAAATGAATCTACCTGGCAGAATTAGGACAGTTAGAGACATGTTTAAATAATAAAAGCCCCTGACATGCATGATAATTCACGAGTGTACAAACACAGCCTGGCACTCTCCTTTCTGTCATATATATATATATCTTTTTTTGTAGAGATTATTCTTTGGGCCACCTTCATTGGAGAAACAGCGGGGAAGATGTGGTCTGCAACGGGACTGAGCCCTAATGGTTATACCCCAACCTCCTTGTCCCACTCACCTACCTTACTTAATTTAACTTTTGCAATATGGGGTTACCAACACTTTAGGTTGGTTTTACTTTTCAAATCAAATCAAAGTTTATTTATATTGCCCAATATCACAAAACATGTTTGTTTTAGTGAGCCTACAGATTAACAAACATGAATGACAGAGCTAAAAGAAAAATACAATTACAGGAAAATAATAAAAAGACAAGATAGTGTAACATTAAAATATAATGGGATAAAAGACAACAAAAATGCAATCAAATACAATCAAACAATACAACAAAATATTATAAAATGTAGGACCTAGGAGGACATACATACGGAGTCATCGGAAACCAGCTCTGATAAAAACAGGAAGATGGTTCCAAAGAGAGGGAGCGAGCTGAACGCTCTGACTCCTGATCAGGGTTGTACCTGTACTTCAGTCAGACAACTCACGTGTTTCTTTAACATGTTTATTAGAAGCAGGATACTCAGGGTTGAGGTAGGCGGATATAGCGCTGCAGTTGTGGCTGCGCAGATTCTTAAACAGTGCGAATAGCGATCTGGGGGCAGGCCGCAGCTTAGGCAGAGATCACGCAGCTTGGAGGAGAACCCTCGTCGTTGGGTTTGCAGCCATCGAATAAACATGGGTGCCGACCCATGTGTCAGAGGGCAATGGTGCGAGAAGTTCAGCATGGAAGATAAAGGACAAAGAAAACAGTGTTAGTTTTAGCAATGATTATTCGGGGTTCCTTGACTCCCCAAACAGAACTGTCTGACATTGAATGTTTCAAAACAGTGTGTATATTTGATCTCCAAAGTTAATTCAGTGAGGGTGAGACTATGCAGAGGATTAAAAGGTGAGAGGTCTGTGTATATTCGCCACCTGAGAAACCCATAGAAAGCTGTAACAACTGCATCTGACGTTTATCAATGTATAGTGAAAGCCCTTTGCCTGAACTTATACATTAACCTTTGCACGGGTGCAAAGTGAAGAGGCAGTCTTTATCATTGCGTGGAGGACGTGCCTTCTTAAGGCCCTTGAGGAGCAAATGAATGAACTCTAGCGTGGCTTATACTTAGCACTTGAAGATGCAGGATTCTGATGAAAATACAATTAATGCATGAACAACTATTATATCTATTGCATAAGTACACATGAGGTTGGGACAGAAGAAGATAAAAGTACCAAGCTGAATTGTATGCTTTGAATCATGCTCTTGGTTGGAGGCAGAATATGAGAAATCCTTGAGGGGCTTGACGTGTAGATCCAGAGTCATTTGGTTGAACGAAGGGCATGGCAAGCTGGTGGACACACCACTCATTGTGAAATCCCCCAAACCAGCAGAAAGCGCAGTATCTGTAAGTAACTAGAGAGGATCTGAAGACACTGCAAGGTCATTATAAAGAATGAACTCTCGCAGAGGGGCTAAGGACCAAATGTCTGAGCAATAACCATCTCTAAGGTTGCATTCACTCTGATGAGATACTGGATGTTGCACACAGCATAGATAGCAAAACAAGGCGATGACATGCAAATAGTTCGTTTCCCATATTTTGATGCGGACTACGTCACACTAGCAATGAACTGCTCCAGAGTTTACTAGCGAGCACCCCGAGACCACCTCTTTTAGGCGGAGCAGAGGTATCGGACTGCTTCCACAACAATCCAACGAACCGCATCAAGGGGTTAACGCTCCAGGACCGATTCAACAGTACTAAACAAGCAGGTGTGAACGCGACCTAAGACTATAGTGCCTTAAGGTTTGGACAGAAGGCTAGAGCTAGAGCTAGTTTCCTTATAAATATAAAACATCTCTTTAGAGAGACTACCAGTGGAGACCATGATTGAAGGCAGTAATCAGTATTGAATGTATTACAAGTCTAAAATGTAGTATAACGTAGAGCGCTTTGAACACATGAAAAGGCGCTAAATAAATAACATGAATTGTAATTATGGCTGTTCTGATGCGGGACAGCTTGTCTGGTGGCAGTGAAGCTTGCATCAGCACACTATCGAGAATGATACCGATAATTCTAGACGTGTGGAAGGGCTTCCAGTCCCTGTCTGAAAGAGGTAGGCCTAGCTGTTAGACAGGTCTGTGTTAGAGTTTTACTCGCTACAGGGTGTACTTTGAGGGTTTTTGACTCTGCAGACCGTTTACATGCAGAAAAACCTTCATAACACACAAGGGGACGGGTAATAACCGGAAAAGCATGACATGGGCCCTTTAATACAAAGTGCAAGGACAAACTGTTTTATTCTCTCAAATATGGAGATTTCTATTTTGTCTTTATAAGGCATATCAAGGCAGAAATTCACACCAGAAAATAGGTCTTTCATAAGGATATACCATTGGGTAACACGATGGTACATGGAGGGGATGTAGGGTTGAGTCAAAGTAAACTATGATGCACCTCCAGTGTAACGCTCTGGCTCATTGATGTGCTTTTGATAGAAACCAATAAAGCTCTACCGCACAGGGTATTTATGTATTAGGCTTTAGATGCCAAGTTAAGACTTCTACTATAGTGAAATGTGTGTACAATTATTGTAGGCTACATTCTTATTCATAGTCATTTCATAAGAGTTGCTGAACATAACGCACATATATCAATCACGATACTTCATTTGGAGCATATCAAGTATTATCAAGAGCAACACTAATAAAGACCAGAGCTACAAAAAATAAGATCCAACTCGTGATCGCACAGCGTTCTTGTTCATTGTGAAAAAGTGTCTTTTACATCTGCCAGTCCTGAAGTGGCAGCCAGACCTGGAAAAAGTGACCATGTCGTCATGTCCCATGGTCTTTTACACTGCCTTGTGATTACAACATGGCTAATCATATTTTAAATACAATCGTGCCTCAACAAGGCAAAACACAATGTAAAAGAAGTGCTTTGGAATGACTGTAAAGTTGAGCTAACAGCTGGCAAAAGCATCTTGAATCTTCCCCTGGTGCTGAATGCATATAGGTCATGTGGGATTTTTATTTTTTATTCTTTATTTAGTGGGGTCACATCATATTAAAAGTACAGTTTTTCAAATCATATATTTTTAGAGACCTGAAAATGACAAATGAAATAGCAAACAAAATTAGTCAAAATAAAATAAAAACGAAAAAGTACACAGGGGTTGTTTGAAATGGCAAATGTCTACACATGTACATTATGCATACATATACATACAATACACATACACACATACATGTGTCCATACATACACACCTATACATATACATTCAATCGGTGTATAGAAACACAGACAAACTGGTCGTCTTTGGGATATGTCAATTCTCCACTTTTTCCATATTTCCTCAAATGTGTTTTCCTGAAGCCTCATTGAGAAAGTGATTCTTTCCATAACATACATTTCATGGATTTTGTCGTACCAAGAGAAGGGATGTCCGCTTTGAGCCATTTTCTAATTATTACTTTTTTTGCTGCAACAGTAAGAATTCCAAATAATTGTTTTGTTTTGAGGTTTGTAGGGATTGAATGTACGAGCCCAAATAGAAATTCGTCCCAGTTTAATGGATTTTTTTTTTCCTGTAGTACTATTTCAATTTCTAAATGGATCTTTTGCCAAAAAGTTACTATTAAAGGGCAAGCCCAAAACAAATGGTAGTGATGTGCTAACTGAGAACCACATTTCCTCCAGCAGCTGGGGGGCCCTAGATGATGTGGTGACTGAGCAGGGCTGAAAAAGTACCTGCTCAGCATCTTCCAACTGAACATCCTGTAGGTGCCTGAGCTAGAGATCTTCCATTGAAAAGTACAGTAATTTGTCCAGACTTCGTCAGGGATGATTTTTTTGGTTTCGTTTTCCCATTTGTGTTTTATGTAGAGAGTATTTTCCTTTTTAATATCTTGAAGAGCTTTGTAAAGTTTTGAGATTACTTTCATCCCTGTGTCTGATGTGTATGCACTGG